ACTACTGCGGGATAAAATGAATATAATGCAACTTTTTTGTGTGCAATAAAAATGGAGAGCGCATTATACGTTTAACCGGGAAACCTCTGGCAATGAGCAATTAGTTTCTTTAAAACGAATCCGGAAGCTTTAAATCGTTCCGCAACTCCAATAATATGAAGTGGCGACGTACCAAGTTTAAATAATTATTTAGCACATAGTTTTGTTCCCTTGATTTTTTTTATACATTTTATCACCTATCGTGTTTTGTTTTGTGGGAAGTTAAATCTATAATAACATTTATTGCTTGAATAAAATGTCTCAGAAATCATCAAATCGATTTCTGCAAAAGCATAATGGTGGCTTGGAAGATTTTGATAGAGCTTAAATTGAACTCGAGATTGGAAATATTGCTTATAGTTACCAATATCTGTTGATGTTATTTCTGAAATGCGGTGCAATGGAAATGTATTGTTTTATTTTTATAAGTGTTTTAGGACTTTGAGTTGAGACATTATTCGAAAACAGATAAAAATTAATTTGTTATGTGCTTGATAATATAAAATAAAATAACTACCTGCTGTATAGTATGGTCTATTTCAAAAAGCTGACAATTGAAAACCTAATTACTTTTGATGAAAAGTTCATTATAGAAATATATTTATGTACACATAATTATATTTTGTCTTAGAAGTTTCAATGGTAGGTTAGGTTAGTTCGAAAATTAGTGGGCCTATTATACGGCCCTCCACTGCTATTGTGACTTATGCCTATTTTTCGAATGAAGTTCAGGATAATGGTTGGAGATATGTTTTTCAGGTCTCCCAGTGGGACCGTTGCCCCACCTAACATGCCTCAGTCTGCCATCTGCCAGACATTCGCAAAGAATGTGTGCAGCTGTCTCCTCGTCCTCCGTGCATAGCCTGCATTCATCATTATCTGCCAGTCCAACCCTGTGCATGTGGTGTTTTAGCCTAATGTGTCCAGCATCCTTCCAACTGAGCGTTTTTTCCCCGGTTATCTTATAATTGCCTTTTCTTGTATCAACCCTGGCCGGTTAAGCCAATGTTCGTAGGCTTTGTTGTCCGCCTAGGTTTTAATGGTTTCATATATCATGGGCAATGCCCAACACTGGCTCTGGCCCTGTGAACTTAGTTTCGGCTCCCCCTCTGGCAAGGAGATCCACCATTTCGTTGCCCTCAAGGCCACATGTCCCGGTATTCACATTAGGGTTACCTTTTTATCCTTCCCTAATTTGCTTAGGGTTTCCTGAATGCTCCAGAGTGTTCTTGAATTACAGTAGGTGGAGCTAAGCGCCTTCAGAGCGGCTTGGCTGTCAAAATATATTTTTTTGGTTTTGTGAGTTTGAAATTTCAATGGCATGCACTTCCGCTTGAAAGATGGTTGCATTGTTCCCTACATTGATGTATAATCTAGTTTTCGGTTTTGCACTATAAACGCAACCCACCCCAATGTCTGTCTTCGATCCATACGTGAACAGGTATAAATCTGCTCTTAGTAGGCCATGCTCGCTCATTCTGCACCCCCCTTCCCTTCTTGGAAAAGCCACTGTATAGGGTAAGGCGCTTGTTTTATGTGTTCTTGGCATAGGGTATAAATTCTGAGGTAGTTTTTAGGGCCTCCCTTTCCAGATAGATATGTAAAGTGGGAATACCTAGGAGAAGCTCCGTGGTGCTGTTGGCGTAGTGCTGAAAGCTCCTGTTATTGCCAAGAAGGCCTGTCTCTGTAGTCTGTTGAGCTTGGTTTCGGCAGTGTGCTGTTGCCTCTTTTCCCACCTTACTACTTAGCCATATGTTATCATTGGTCTGATGACCCTGATATATATCTAGTATATTTGCTTGGGCCCAATTCTCCATGATTTGCCACAGATCCTTCGGCAAATCCATAGTGAGTAGCTAGCTTTCTGCTTTATTGTTTTCAAACAGAAGTTCCAGGTAAGCTTTGTTCTAGAGTATTTCCTAGATATTTGACTTCGTTTGCAAAATGTACTACTACCCCTCGTAGGTAAAGGGGTATCGAATGATCAAGCTTCCTTTTCCTTGTGAAGGGCACTACAGTTATTTTGTGAGGATTTATTGTCCTATCCTGATTCTCGCACAATGGAAGTATTGTGTCTTTTATTACCTGAAGGGTTCCGATTTTCCCCGATTTTCGTACCTACCAACTTTTATTAGGAACTAGCTAATGACCCGCTGCGTTGCCAGCGTGTAAATACATTTTGAAATAATACACTTCTTTTCAAATTTTGTTGTTGATTTTCTATTTAATTTTTTTTTTTTAAATCCGATATCAGAGTCGGTTGCCAGTGAGTTCAGGACGCATTTTAAGCACTCCAGAGCTGCTCTAGAGCGCCCCGGGCTGTTTATAGGCGTTCCAGTGTATTAGAGTTTTACGCAACCGAATTTTTTTTTTTTTCGGGATAAAAAATAGCCTATATCACTCTCCTCTATAGCCGATTCGATTGACCGGATTAGATCGATCTGGTTCAATTTAAGTGAACCACACTGTGTTCGATTCAAGCTGGATCAGTGCACCCTCATCAACAAAAAAATGATCTAGATCAGCAGAAGTTCACTTAAATTGAACCCAAATCGATCTAATCTGGGTCAATCGAATTCACCTTATATAGAGATACGTGGTATTAATTCAAGATCGGTCCAGCCGTTCTTGAATTCAAAAAATAATAAAGTTACGTCGGTTAAATGCAAGCCTAAATAAATGAAATATGGCAACGTTGTTTCATGCTGTCAAAAAAAGTTGGGTTATGTTGTTATGTAATGTGAATGAGTTTGTTTACAATTAAATTAATAATTAATTCAAAATTAATTTCTTTTTCCGAGATGCGTAACCTATCCACAAACCTTTTCTTGGGATGGCCATAACAACCTACCAAAGTTTCATCGTAATCGGATAAGTGGTTTTGGAGCGCATATCCGGATACCCCGTGAACTTTGATTTTTATATATATAGATTTTAATTTAGAAAATTGCCTGAACAAATGTAACTTTGTATATTCTTCAAAAACTATGTCACGAAATAACTATTAGCAAGTACTTGAAGTGACATTTTGTTGCATGAATCTCTCGAATAAGAAAACGAACGCAACGTGTTTTTTTAGAAACAAAAATGCCAGAAACGTACCTTCCTGATATAATATACAATTTATTTGGCTATGATCCCCAAAATAACACTTGTATAAATCAAAGCATATTTCAAGTTTTTATTGGAACGTTTACTGAATGCATTTATATTCGTCACTTGCTTCAACCGCGAAGAAAGAAGATAACCAGGTTTGGGACTGGACTCGACGAATACCGATCAATATCTCTATCTCTATTGATTTCGATAAGACAGTAGAAGACAGTAAGTGCCATAGCGATGAGAATTTATAACGATCTTAATTCGTTACAGTCAGCCCAGAATACACCTTGAAAATAAAAGCCCCTCACTTTGCAGGGTCATGTGTCATTTGATTTGAAAACAACTGTAACGGTTAAATGAATATTGTTCCTGATCAGTTATTGCTATTTTCTATATTATCAAATACTCTTTAGTTATTACTGATGCTAATTGTGCTTCTAAATTTATTTTGATGTACTCTATAAGTATTTCTCTTCAAATGACTACGACTGAATCATAAGTTTTGTTTATAAAAGGTATAAGTATTTTTTGTTTCATAGTTTTTGTTGGGATAAAATGAGCTGTCATGCGACAGTTCGCATTGGAATTGAGTAATAAACACGTTATTGAAATAGTTCCGTATTTTTATCGAAATAGCGGAATACTACTTAGCGCACACTCAACATGCGAATTAGTCGATTATCTGACTAAGTAGTAACGATTTTTAGGTCATAGAAAAAAATGTTCAGACATAGAGGTAGTACAATATTTTTCTATTACCAAGGCGTACTAAGACTTTCAAAATTAAGGCCGATTTACACGTATCCAGTAGCTGGCGCCAGTCTTACCAGCATGCCAATTCTTGGCCGGCAAAGCGCTGAATCCAGGTCGTCTACAAGTGTCCACTCAATCGTGAGTTTTCACTGAGGTATCCTACTGACAAGAAAAATATACACGCTCTCTATTCGCGCTAGTGCTGGACTGGCACGAGCGAGTAGGGTTCTCACGAAGCCAGAACTAGAACGCCAGCTACTGGATACCTGTAAATCGGCCGTTAATGAAAATTAATTTTAAATGTTTTAGTGGCAATACAAGCCAAGCTATTGAAAAGAAACCTCAACCATTTTCTTAGAAATAGTATTGCTTTCTTCAAACAACTTTACTAGCAAATTTAGAAGGGTTGAATATTCTCCAAGGATTTAACTAACTACAGTTTTGCCATCATTTTCGCACATATATTAGCGAAATAAGTCACTAAAGATCGTCCCATGTAAAATACACCCCCGTTTGCGCCATATACAATAATTCATCTTCTCGTTTATTAACCTCATGCCAGACGCCTGAGCGTAAGAGGGCTGTTTTCATTAAAGTTATCCACGAATGCACGCAGACAAAATTCCAACAAAAAGAACTGTCTCCGGGCACTTTCTAGATTATTCTTCTTTAGTCATAATGTTCAAATGTTTTTCCTGATAAAAATCAAACTTATTATTAAAGATTATCTTAAAATCTCACTCACATGGTTTATTTGGAAAGCAACAGAACTATGGCCATAGTAAGTCAATTAATTAATTATTCATGTGAAAAATAATAACAAATTTTTCTAATGCTGTGGGAAAGAAATAAAATTATTATGTTTCCTTAATAACTTGGAAGAAATAATTATTTTTACATTAAATTTGATAAATATATATATTTATATACTTCTCGCGTTTTTGTTTTTATATTTCACTTTAGACAAACTGAAAGAATCCGGTAGCTCTGCACTCGGGATTATAAGCTCAGCGCATCCACTTCAACAACGTGTTGACATTTAAGATAGAATAGATAGAGGAAAATATTTATGAAAATATTTTAAACAATTTTTTTTTTCCTTCCAGATATCCAACAAAATAGGCCAAGCATCAATCCAGCACCAGGTAAAGTAGATAAAAAATATATATTTAAAATATTTTTTTTTATTTCTCGCAATTTGAATTTTATGTTCTATTGATTCAACGACTAATGACTACTTCACAGTTGCCAGACACGCGAAACTGTCGTTAATTTTGAAAATTGATTTTTCCGTTGATATCCACCAACGATAAAAGAAAGCAGGAATAATCTGGTAACGCCAAAAAGCCAATAAGCTTACGTTGAATTTACATTTAGCTTTGAGGGCAACATATAACTTTATAAAAATAATTTGTTATCAGCTGAAAACTGGTCTATCATTTTTTTTTTTGTATTTTCATTTAACCTGCAATAACTATTAATTTTTGGGTAAGCACAAATTAATGCATTCACCCGGGGTGAGAGTTGTATAATATTGTTTTTTTTTTTTTAAATGAAATTTATCACCCAATACCTAATGATAACTCGTGATGCTCGTGGGAAAAATTTCACTGACAAATTATTATGAACCACGATACCCTGGATACTATAAACGGCAGAATTTTGCAGTTTGATATGTCACGAAACAAGATGCTGCACCATTTACGAGAAATAACAATGCGAAGCCTATATTGGAACATCTCGTAATACTGTAACCTTTCTCAATATGGCCCAACATTAATACTAGCGCAACTGCCCGATAGATACGAGTAAATTTTAACATTTCTGGTTTTCTCGTAACGAAAGTTCATTCTTGAAATACCTGCATTGCCAAATGTAATGTAGTTGATAAAAACTTTCGACTTGGAATGTTTTGAAAAAAAAAACTTGAGAACAATTAATTGTCAATCATATAATATTGAGTTATGATAAATCCTAAACATATAGTAGCTCACTTTTTCCTTGCTCAAGGAATGGCCAATGACAGTAAAAAGATGAATTTGAGTACAGCACATCTGTTATTTAGTTCTTATTCCAGCTAATGGTTACATTCTAAGCTTGACTTGCCTCAGAAATGCAGTGGCGCTTTTCAAGATTCAACTCATTATATTACTTTGCTAATTATTATCCACAAGACATTATATTTGGATAAAATCTCGTAGACAACAAGAAAACCCCTTCTACATATATATTCTTGGCTTTAATTGGCTAAATGGAAATGAAACTAGAAGCCGCTTTCTATGTAAGCGAAGAATTGTATCAAGCTCGCTGAAACTAGTTACTCCTGAATAGAAAATATGTTAATATTGTTGCCTCAGGTCGCAACTACTACTCTCAAAATTAATCCATCCTTTATTTACATTTCACGTTCTCTATCCTCTAATTTTCCAGCGAACAATAACTATTGGCCTTAGAGAAAAATAATTTTTTTTAAATTTTCTGTTTGAAATCCAGCAAAATAATCACATTTGAATGAGAAACGTTTGTCGGGAATTATCATACGGCTTCATTTGCTTTAAATCAACACTCTATATAAAACACGCCTGGATGTGTTTATGAAATTGCGGCGGAATAAATTTGAAACGGGAATTAATTTACGGGGTGTTTCTTATTCCCAACCATCTAATTTAGAAATACTTCAACTAAAAAGGTATTACATACATAGGTATGCCTTTGAAAATAATAACTGACGTTTGGACGTGATCTAATAACAAAAATTTCACTGAGGCCAGCGACTCAAGATCATGCCTGAATACTTAAATTGCTTGGACAGAGATATTCAATGAAAACGATTGAGGCACTGTTGGAGTCTATAATAATAGGGTTATTCTACCTTTCTCTAAAGCACAAAGACATGTAAATTCGTGCGTCCATGCTCATGTACTGCTCAGTTTAACTAGTATATTTATGTAATATGTACCAAATAACAAGTAATATATTCTGTTTCGAATTTACACACGATTTTTCCTTTACATAATGTAGACGCGCTTTTTATAAGGTATTTATTAGAAGCAAAAGAATCCATATAATTTTACAATCGATTCAACTTCCGTTACAGTTACGAAAAACTTGATATAGGTATACCAAGATTCTACTGAAAAATCACACTTCACAAGTTACTCAATATCATAATATGCTTAGAAACTTTGAAACATAATGTTTTGGTAATGTTCTGTAACACTTCAGATACATCATCATCATCATCATCATCATCATAAGCGATCACTCGGTACCGAGTATGATTATCTCCTAATAAACTATAATACAGCAGGCGGTCTGGATGTACTTTTGCGGACACCCAACCTTTGCCAATATCTTCCAAAGAGCTTCTCTGTTGACTGAATCAAATGCTGTCACTAAATCTATGAAGGCCATGTATAGAGGTTCTCTGGATTTCTCTTGCACTAAAAATCATGTCAGTTGTACCTCGGTTGGGTCTAAAGTCACACTGTGTCTCTGAGAGGTTCTCTTTGGCAGTTGAGGTTAGACGATTTGATAATATCCTGGCAAGTATCTTTCCCGCAACAGAAAGTAAAGATATACCTGTGTAGTTTCCACATTGAGCCTTGTCCCCCTTTTTATAAATGACAACTATGGAGGCATCTCTAAGTTCGGCAGTAATCCATACTTTAATTATTAGGATGTGGACTTAGGCACTTAGTGTGGGGTCTCCTTGCTTAAAGAATTTAGCAGGAATGCCGTCAGTACCAGCTGACTTATTGTTCTTTAATTGCCTTTTCAACCTCCTCTAATCTGGGAAGCTCGCTCAGTTCTTGTTGTATTAGGTTTCCGTGGAATTAGTGGAATTAGGAAGTTACAAAAACGACATATCCGTTATCAACAATACTATTTATTATTCAACAATTCAACCTATACCATTGTCTGTCTCGCTTCAATACACAATCACCGGCTACTCAAGTCCTTATAGTAATTTTTCAAAAAACTTTAGGACATAAAAAAGTTAAAGTGCTTTGGGAATGACCGGTATTGATTTCGCCTTGTCCCTCGTAGTTGATTTATTCCCTTTCTTGTTTTCCGCCTTTTCACAGGTCGCAGTGTGTTAAGTTCTCACAGCCTTTAATCGATTTTTATGATACTGATAGCGTTTAATTAGTGGAGATTATAGTCGAAACTAGACGCACTCTTCCGTAACAATTGATTTCAAATAGGAACAGAATGCATTATTTTATGCTAAAATATAAGGATCGAATTTTATACATTTTTCCACTCAGACATCCCTCATTCGAATTCGTAAAAATTATCATAAAATTCTTTTGTTCATCCCAAAGTTTAATAAATGTGGAAATAGAAAAACGGAGAATATCCAATTTTTTGCCACAAAGGTAAATTTTTATTTTCACCCATATCTACATATCGGAAATGGAGAGAAATATTGAAAAATAAAATGTATAGGAAAAAACAAGGCCAACTCGCGAACCGCAAATTAAAAACCCTACGAATAACGTATCCGCAGAAACAATTTTGAGTAAAAAATAAAGCAGTATCCAGTCGACATAACCAAATTAAAGAAACGCCGGGAAAACACTAAATTATGTAAACGCTTTCACGGTTACAATTCGTTTTAAATTATTTTTAAACATTGGGCTCTTTGCAATTTGTATTTGTTTTTTGATTAAAAGTTTTAATTTGTTTTTGCCACCAAAAAGTCCAGCTTCTCGGTTAATTATGATGTTTCTTCTATTAGTTCCGGCAGTAAGTTATTTTTAGTTGTAGATTTTGATTCTGGTCTCTACTTTTCACTCCCGGCCTCTTTTTAAAAAGTTTTTTTTTTCTGTCTTACCAAGTTTCAGAGCCTGACGGTATTATGAGTCTGTTTAGATTAAATTTATTTCCTCTTGAAATTATTGTTTCATTCACACGTTTTCTCGTTTGGTGCATTACAGATCATTTTGTTAGCTTTTCTGTTAATTTACTCATTTTTGATATTACCTCTTCTCTATTCCTGGACATCTCTGGTATTTCAGTTATTCTATTAATATAAAACAAATTTTTTTTTTATAACATTATTTTCCAATTTGCAAGGTGGACTTTTTTTTGATTGGCGTTCTACATAATATAGTAAATAACAGACATTTTCTAGAAACAGCTCTAATCACAAATACAATAACGCATCACAAATGATAATGCGTATTCGCCAAAAAAAAAGGACAATCAACTACCGTGAGTATGATAAATAGGGCTTCCTAGATAACAACACTTAAAACGGTTACAGTTAGAGTACCTACCTATTTCTTTATAGTATGAAATTCAATTAAATAGACCGCCAATTTTAGCAGAATCACCCTGAACACGTTTTGTATAGGTTATTAATCTTGGATAACGATCGGTAGGGAAAAAAAACCTCTATACTCAGGGGTGTTGTATTATGAGAGAAGAATCGTGTCAGCTTGTAAGGGGGAAATCTACCAGATTATCAGATATGGCACCGTAGCGAATTTCATACCGAAATGAAACGAACGATTTTCCTCTAGACTTTTGACTTTTTGAAGTGTATTGGATTTTACGGGAAAGAAAGTGGACTGCGGTCACAAAGACATCAAATCGCATCAAATCAATTTACTCAACTTTCACAACAGTTGACATTTTTTTGTTTATCAAACATTTATTCTTGAAATAGTTCACCTTCTGGCAAGAAGAGAAAATCGAACTCCTCTCAAGGGCGCAATACGCAAGGTGTGGTGAAAATATTCATCCGTCTAACTTGCAACGGCAAACAGATATGCAGGGCACGTAAAGACTTCGAACAAAAAGAGAATTTACCAGAGATTATTAATTGGAGGAGATGAGCTCCGGAAAAGGGAATTTACTAAAAGATATGCATTTCCGATGGGAATCCATTGGCAAATATTTAATTTGCATTCAATTCCCCGGGCTAAAAAAGATACGATCTGATTGCAGAAAGATGTAAAGCAAGTACCTGAAGTTCCCTATCCTAAAAATATATTGAAAAAAAAAAATTAGCACCCTGTCTTTGGGAAATGGAATAATTTTTTTCAGATTGAAACTGAAAAGTATAATTCACTATCGATTTGTAAATAGACGATTAAGGTTTACGCTAGGCTTTACATACACCTTATAACAATAA